TCGGAAAAAAAAAAAAAAAAAAAAAGGATATTTTTAATCTATTGTAATGTTTTAATCTTTTGACGGCCCAAATTCATTGAGCAAAAAGGATTTTGATTCCTTCTTTATGAATAGTCTGAAGTGACAAAATTGACTCTCAGCCTTGAATGTGACAGAACAGCACTGCAATAACTCCTTGCTAGACAGGTTTTTCCTTTTTCTGCTCCTTACGCACACAGATAATGCTCTCCGCAGGTACACCGTCTCATCATGGCCAATTGTTCCCCCTGTGAGTGCTTTATCTAAACTGGTCTGAGACTGTTCAGCCTCATTGAACATCAATGGCCCTAATCTTCATCCCCTCTTACCGAGCCATCAGCGCCAACATCCCTTGGCATCAAGGCTGTAACAAAGGCAGGGATTCTGCTGCACCGCAGGACGTGGAGGAAAAATGGGGGAACAGACGAACAGAGAAACCTCACACAAAATGTGAGAACATGGTAGATTTGAAAGAAGCAGAGAGGGGGATTTTTGCTAACAGCGTTTCTCTTGTGAGGAGGGAAATTCAATTCTGACCTTGTAAACTGGAGGTGTTTTCATAGGAAGGTCATTTAAGTTGTGAATGATAGTTAACATAATATATTAATGCTCTAAAACTGAGATCCAATCAGACATTCTGACAAAATCAGTTCATATTGACACACTATAAACAACAGCTGTGTAATTCTAAACAACGTACAGATTTAAGCAGAAAGAGCAAATCTAACTCAAAGTGAGTCTTTTAAAGTGAGCGTGCAACTTCCCGATTCTGCAGTAATACGGTCCATGGGACTGAATTGAGTGCCCCGTCTATTTCACACTTTGCGAGCAGCCCAATTGCCATATTCATCACGATGACTCAAGACACAGAAAAGTACTGAATTCATCAACACTTCATTGTAATATCAGGCAGAATAAAAGGCGGAGGCTCCAATCCATGACAGGGTCCTCATCTGAGCCCACTGAGGTTCCAATTTGTCACAGAGATTCATAACAAAGCCTGTCTCTCTCTAAACACACTTTAATTTCCCAACTCCACCTGGGCCAAGAGAACACCTGCCTTTGTGAAAACCCTTCTAGCAGTGAAGTCGAAATGTGTTCCAGCCAGGTAGCTTTAATATGCTCAAATGCAATTCATCGCGATGCTGAAACCAAACAATGACTAGAAGCCATATGCCTGTAACATTTGTACTGATAAATCCCAATAAAGAATTAATGAAGACCAGATCAAATCTGCAAGCTGTTGCCCTCTCATTTGTGACTAAAATATTTCCACCGGAGTCTGCTGGGATTGTTGCAACCTAAAGCACTACAGGCCATCAATGAATCAGAGAATGTACTGGCATCCAGTAACGTGCCCCCAAACACTGGCTGGAAAATATGGTACCAGGTGGACCTATTCATAGAGTGATTTTATGTTACTGGCTGAAAGCTCATGGTAAATGACATGTAAGACCCCAAAACTTTGACTTTACGGCATTGCAATATGGATTCCTGCCTTACATTCTACCTGTTGCAGATTAACAGATGTAAAAAATTACACTCACAGTTGACCCAAAGAAATGTACTTGTAAGTTTTAATGAATAAATGTCACTCATTATATCATACCAAACCAGGTGACATTTACTGTACACTACTGTAACAAAGTTATTTTTTTAAAGAATTCTCTTATTTTCAAAGCTACATTTATTTAATCAAAAATACAGTAAATATAGTAATATTGCAAAAAATGATCAATTTATTCTTATGGCAAAACTGAATGCTCAGTCACATGATATTTCACAAATTAATCTAATATGCTGATATGGTGCATTTCTTATGTTGAAAACAGTTTTGCATTATTGCTGATTAACAGTATTAACTTGCTAAAAAAATACTGACCCAAAATATTTGGACAATAATATATTTTAAGGAAATATAATGTAATAATATGTTTGGACTTTTTAAGCAAAACATTCATAAATATTATCAACATAAAATAACAATAAATATTAGATTTTGGATCAAAGTATAAAACAATAGATATGCTTTTAAAAACTAAGACAAACTGTATTTGGACACTTTCTAGTCGTCAGATTTTCAGGAACACATTAATTATGATATACATGTGGTTAATCTGCTAGGATACTGTACCTGTGTGAACTAGAGGAGAACTTCATACATTCACTAAAATCACTTTGAAAAAAGAAAAAGAAAAGTGAAGCTTTTGAAAACTCAAGTTATTTGCAGAATTGTTTGTTGTTATGTTATCTATGCAATGAAATTCAGGCTTTTTTGGGGGGGATTCACAAGTGTCTAAATACTTTTGGGGCTATTGTATGTTCATACAGAGCTAAAGGCTTTGCAAAGCCCTACACGATGACAAATGAATCAGAAAGAAATAGAGAATACAGAGTGATTGTTGTGGAGGATGGAATGATCAGGTTGATTATGAAACTATGATTAATCCAATACAAACTCAAAGTTAAAACAAGCTCTTACCTTTAACCTGAACGCCAATGCGAAAGTACACATCTGAGCTACTGAGGTAACGCTCCACCAAAATATAGTACCACTGCTCCCAGGATGGCAGCGGGACCTCCAGCTCACAGGGAACATTCTCTCTGCAGTCCACGGCGCTAGAGTTATGCACCGGCGGGGCCCTCGAGCAGATTTTCAACAAAACCGGACAGCTCTCCCCACTTTTGTTCTTTGTATTGCAGTCCACAAGCTGTACCTTCACCCGAGAGATGTAGTTTGGGATGAACACTCTGCCAGGTACAAGGGAGGGAAATGTAGAGGACATCTGCTTGAAAGGTACACTGACTGTAGCAGACATTGTCTCATGAGATACACAGACAGTACTGAACAATACTGGTATGCTTATTGAAATGCCAAGGAAATATTTAAAAGGGAATGTGCTTTTGTACTCTCAGGAGAACTTTAAACTTCAGCCCATTCTAACAAACTTGTTGAAAATGCATAAAATAATTAAGTGATATCGCTCTGTCTTAATTTTCTGCATCAATAACAACTAATCAGGAAACTAACGCAAGTTGCCCTTTTCAGTTTGAACAGAGATTGAGAACAACTGTGAAGTTAGAATAAATAATTAATATCTATAGTTTTGGCCATGACATAATTGGCTTTGTCTTTTGGTTTTTGATAATTAACGATATGAACAGCACTCCAAATGCTCAATCAAACGGAACACAATTTGTTTACAGATCCGCTGGATCGCTTCTGGAAAAAAAAGTGTTTTGGAACGTGAACTTGGTCTTTGAAATTTGCCTTGAAATTAAAAAAATTATAATAATTTATTGCATGGTGAATTTATCCCTTCTTCCAATTTTACGCAGCACTGTTTTGTATTTCACAACTGATTAAATAGTATGTCCTATTATGAATAATACAAATTCTTATAAAAAACTTAATTTAATTGACAAACTTGACTAATCTTTGTCAGTCTAAATAACAAGAGCTATGCATAATAACTATATTTGACATATAAAGTTATATACATATTACAGACATTTCTTCATATACATTATTTCATGAGGCAGATATCCTGTATAAGTTATAAAATAGCATATACTATTCTCCAGACATTCATTAAACAGCAGCTTCCCAAGTGTCACAGCATACAGTGCATTGTCCTTCTGAAATGTTCGCTGGAAACCAGCTTTTAATGATACAAAAAAGCCCATCTTCATAATGTCCAGTGCTCGAGGTCTTTTCTGTGTACCCTGTTGTTTATGAATGCATTTCATCACCTCTCCCTCCTCTATTTTCCTCTTTTTCATTTAGAACGCTTTATTTGCTAATTGAGAGGAGAGCTTTAATATCTGAACCTAATGAGAGTAGAAGCCTGAAACAGAGGGAAGCTTGTGAGAAAGATGTGTGTGGAATGTTAAAGTGTTGAGAGCAGAACGAGGGAGAGAAAAGGTGAGATACTTGCACGGTGTGTGCGTTCATGTGTCTGATATGGAAAAATGTGGGGTGAAAGTCTGCGAAGATGACAATAGAATAGAAATGTTCACAATCTTAAAAAAAATAGTTTTATTTAGGGTTTGGAATAACATGAGGGTGATTACAGCTCCATTCAAGAATTTGGGGTCGGTATGATTTTTTATGCTTTCGAAAGAAGTCTCACCAAGGCTTCATTTTTTTAATTAAAATTGAAGAAAAAACTGTTTTCGGTTTAATATATTTAAAAATAGAATTTACTGATTGAAAAGCTGAATTTTCAGTGTGACATGATCCTTCAGAGATCATTCTAATATGCTGATTTGGTGCTCAAAAAACATTTCTTCTTATTATCAATGTTGAAAACAGTTGTGCTGCTTAATATTTTTGTGGAAACTATATGTTTTTTCAGGATTCTTTGATGAACAGAAAGTTTTTATTTAAAAGAAATTATTTGTAACATTATAAATGTATTTGCTATCACTTTTAATGCACTCTTGCTGAAAGAAGGTATTAATAAAAGTAGTAATCTTTCTGGGAAAAATTACCCTAGACATGTCAATGTCAGTGTAAATGACAGACTTTTCTCTATATTGTGTGTGTGTGTGTGTGTGTGTGTGTGTGTTTATTTGGAGGTTTGGGTGGTAGAGGGGATTTGGACTTTCACTTAAGACACACTCCAACGACACAGGAGGTCCCACAAAGCCTGACAATGAAGCTGATCGCTCATGTTGCTATAGGAAATACCATCAAACTGCTCTTAATTACAGATCTCCTTCCCTGCTGGCCTCTCCTCATCATGTGTGGCATGTGTCTAAACT